CCCGGGCCTTCTTTTTTGACCCCCGGGGTTTTTCCCCCAATTTTTTTTTCCCCCAAAATTTTCTTCCAATTCGCCCCTGGGGTTTTGTATTCCGGGGTTCCTCTTTTTCCGAAAAAAAATTTTTTTTCCCCCCCCCCCCCCCCCCCCCGGTGAGAGCCTGGTCCGGTGAGACCCCGGCGTGCTCCGTCCCGGCTTTGTAGGGATGCGAGGTCAATGGTCTAACGATTCCGGCATGCACGACTATGAGTACCCCCCCCCCCCCAAAAAAAAAAAAAAAAAAGGCTCTTAGACCCATGTTTATGGTCGCCAAATCTTTGAAAAAAATCTTCAAATGTTGTCAAACATTTGCGCGCGAATATCTGCCAGAGGAACATTTGAGTACCGTTTTTATGGGCAAAAAAATCTTTATCGTGTGGTTTTCTCGAAATGCATCGCACATGCGGCGGGAATCGTGGTCTACTGCTACCAAACGATTTGTGACAGACAAACCACAAATGCGTCATGGAAACTGAATGTAACGAGCTCGCAAAGGGCTCCCCACAACCCTTGATGTGCTGAGCTGATGCTGTGCCCGCCAATATGTGGCGATAGCGCTCCGGGCGTGCGAGAAAAAATGTTCTCGGTGTCAAAAAGAGACCAAAACGTGCGTCAGCGCTTCCCAACGGCAAAAAGTCGGCCGCTTGAGAGGACATGTGAGTACAAACTATCCAGCTCCCGTCCTCTAGACCATCGATTCATGTTTTGTCTTCTTGGGTATCTTCTCCATCAACGAGTCTCATCCGGTTGCGCGTGGGTTAGCAGTGGCCGCGCTCAGTCGGCAGGGAGGCACATCGTTGTACGCGCAAAGTTGTGGACACAACGTTTTTTTCCGTCTATTTTTTCACTCGAATATAGAGGGCTTGTTCCTCCGTCCCAAAAAAGACTTTTTCAACACATCGAGTTCACAGCGACGCGCCTCCCTGCCTGTTGAGCACGTCCACTGCTGAACCACGCACACCCGGATGAGAGCCGTTGATGGAGAAGACACCCAAGAAAACAAAACATGAATCGACGGTCTAGAGGACGAGAGCTGGATAGTTTTGTGCTCACCTCTCCTCTCAAGCAGCCGACTTTTTGCCGTTCGGAGACACAAACCATGCTTTGTCCGTGCCCTCCAAACCACCCCTGTCTGTTTTTTTTTTTGTGCACGCTTGACGAGCTCCCGCCATGTATCAGCCGGCAAAACATTGACACGGTGACTCTAGGGTTGTCCGGATCCCTCTATGAGCTTGCTACGTTGAGTGTGCGCTGCGCAGTGGTTGGTGTTTAGGACGGAAGGGGCGGTCGGCTACTAATCTCGCCGCTCTTGGGAAACATTTTCGCGACCTGCCCCATTTCAAAATGTTTGAGAACATTTTGTCAAACGAGCGACTTTTGCCCCATTTCAAAATGTTTCAGGATACTTTGCCGAAGATTTTCTCCCATAAACAGTGAAACAAAATCTTTGTCCGCAAATGATTGAAAATATAAACATTTTCGCAAAGATTTGGCGACGATAAACATGGGTCTTACCGTTCGACCTTGGTGTTGTAGTACTCCAGCCACTTGATCGCCTCTAAGATATCTCTCACGTCGCAGTCCGCCATCTTGTCCTCGCCGCACACCAGCGGAAGCAGCAGGTCCTTGAGGAAGCCCTCGTACGAGTCTCGGAACACCCGCAAGATGTCGTACTCCGGGGGAAAGCAAGGAACCACCTGTAGGACATGGCGTCAGGGGCGATGAGCGGCTTGTATTGATTACTCGCTCATAGATAGGAGTTGGCTGTCACTTCAATTACAGTTAATGTCAGACGAAACGGAGAGAGGCACAGTGGAGGGGGATGGAGAAGGGCATGGGGGGGGGGATCCCGGCTGTGTAGATACGTTTAGCACTTGTGGTACAGTCGTAGGCCATCTGTACGGCGGGTTAAATAAGGCGGGTGCCCGTTATTTGGTGGGTGAAATCTCTTGGCACAGATGGAATATTCAAGACGGTCAATGCATTGAATACTGCGGACGCCCGCTATAGGGCGGGTAATCGGTCTGGCGCATACCCGCCTTATAGAGGGCTTACGACTGTAGGCCAAACTTAGCCCTGTTCGTCGAGACCGATCAGGCCCCTGAACGTGTGCTAACAGTACCTCCGAATCGACGGCCTCTAGGTCTACCAAGAGGTTCGTAGCCGCGCCCAGCGTGGCGAAGACCTTGGACTCGCCGGCGTCCACGCCCGCCATCTGCATCGTCGCGAACTGCGCCGAGACCCGGTTGTCCAGTCCCTTCTTCAGCCTGGCTCGTTCGTCGCGTCGGTTGTCCCGGGATTCGATTCGATCACAGGAAAGGGGGATACGCAGATGGATGGCCGAGGGGGGTACGTTCGTCGTGTCGGTTATCATGGGAGTCGATTCCATCGGGCGGGGGATGGGGGCG